GATAGGGAAAGAAGTTTATGAAATGAGAACAGAGTGAAAGTGCTTTCACACCTAGCTAGGCAGGCCATGGAAATAAGAGGATCATCTTTCTTGAATTTGAATGTTTTAATTGACGAGTTGTGTGTGTAAAGTCACTGATTTATCCTAAAAAAACTATGTATTTATGTGTGTATTATTTGCATTTGCTACGAAGATGTTGTCATGTTATCTAAATTTCAATGTTCAAAGCTAAACTCAATTAGTTTAAAGTCCAATTAATATAATTTTTTTATAATCAATTAACATAAATTTAAGTATGCTTAATTCACCACAACCATATTATATTCTAGCATTAGTTCATATATCCATTTTATTTTAGAAGTTTAGGATTCTTTAAGAAAGCCAAATTTCACATTTACGAGATAGTATTAATATCACCTTAATTCTTCCAAAAAAAAATTAACTTGCTAGATTCAATAGTGAGTATAAAAAAAAATTAATAGTAATAGAAGACAGGTTATACATAGAGCCCATAAGCAAAAGTTGATTGAGGTGATATTTAGTACAAAATTTTTAATTTTATTCTCATTTATTCATAAATTTAAAATTTTAAAATTATTTACGATAAAAATTGTAACTAATAAACAAATAAATTTAAGAATAATCTGGGACTTAATTTTTGGTCCTTTTTGAATTTTTTAAATGTATTGTTAAACTTAATGATCAAATTGACGTTGTAAAGCAAAGTATTAAGCAAGACTAATAGATAGTAATCACATACAACTGAACTGAACATAAAAGTTTACAGAATATACTAGACAAGAATAAAATTGCATAAGCAAAAACATAAAATAAACTAGAAATAAATTGCAGAAACGTAAATGTGTGAGAAAATAACGTACAAATCCTAGCAACAATTAACACCAAAGACTATGAGTCTCCTGATAGCTGGTGTCTAGCTCTGTGCAAAATTTTAATGTGCAGATAATTTGAGTGCAGGTGTAAAGTGCAAAAAGTCATCATCTAGAAATGTGAAACTTCGTATTATTTATAGACGAGTGAGCTGTAACCGCTCCCCTCTTTTCGTGGGTATTTCTTGGTAATTGCCTTTGGTGTGTGCTTCTTCTTAATCGATGTTGTCCATTAGCTATAACCATTCATGATTGTGTTTTCTCCATAACTGTTGTCGCTCATGATCATTTCTTCATCGCCCATAATCATTTCCTCATGTCTCTGACCTTTAACTAGTGGTAATCGCTAGTAACTGCTACTTTGATAGTCGCTTCAAACCTTGACATGTTTCTTCATCTTTTGGGCTTCATCTTGTCCTTAGGATTTAGAATAATTCCCTTATCACTTTCTATTTTGACAAGTTTTACAAAAAATCTATCAAAGACTCCTATGGACTTAGAATAATTTTTCTTGTCAATTCTTTTTTTGAGAAGTTTTAGAGAAAATTAGCAAGCTCCACCTAATCTCGTGGACTTAGAATAATTTTCTTTGTCGATTCCTGTTTTGACAAAGAATAAGGAAAATCGGCGAGCTCATCTAATCTCGTGAATTTGGAATAATTTTTCTTGTCGATTCCTTTTTCAACGAGTTTTGACTCTTTTCAAGTTGGCACTTGAAAATCTTCAAAACTACTCGAAAAGTTATCTTCTTTTTGATAAAGAATGAGTCTTCTCATGACCCTTTCAAATTCCTCAAATTGTGACTTTCTTTTTGATAAGGAGGCTCTTTCCAAGAACCTCTAAAACTTCTTAAAATATAGCTTTCTTTTCAATAAAAATAAAATGAGATTTTTCTACTAGTCTTCATAGAAACATGTCGAGAAGTTAGTCTTTTGACAAGAGTTTAGGACTTTGATATTTTCATAGATTTATGACTCATCAAAGTATACAAACCTAAAGTTCTATGTGATTTTAATCGAAAGTCATAGTCTATTTCCTACTACTAAAATCTAGTAAAGGCATTTGTAATTTAAAAAAATTTTCTTTCTCCAAACAAAAATAAATAAATAGTTTATCATAATATTTTTTTATACACTTATTATTAACTTACTAACATCTTAAAATCATTTAATCTTTCATAATTCCCTTCAAATCTACAAAGAAGGAGAAAGATCGAATAACAATTTTTTGTTAAGACTTTAATGCTTGGTGTGGTTTGATATGGCTGTTGCACTTATTGTTTTGTGGTTGTGTTCCCTCTCTTTTTTAAAATTTTCAAACACAAACCAATTGCAAAATGATGTGGTTGTGAACATTACCATACCTACGATATCGTGACCACGTCATGTGATGCAATTCACAATTTAAAACCTTAATTGTACGCAATTCAACTACTAGCTTAGCACTTTCTACCGGTGATGTATGCTTTAACTTTGCAAATATACTACCAAAACAACTAGTAAATTTCTATTCCCAGTGTGACACATTATTCATGTAACGTATACCACTCTTTTCTTTTAGTAGCTTATGTTGTTCCTATCTATTAGCAAACCTACTAACTACTCTTCTACTATTAAGCTACTATTTAAAATTAAAATTTTTACCTTCAAATTGGTTTCTCTTTCCTTGATTTATACTTATAGAGATGAAGAGTTTGATGAACAATGCCCACAAGCAACCACCATTCTGCTTCATGTTTCTATTTTTCCTTCCACCTTCTCCTTCGTTTTCTTAATGTACACTTTCCAACTCATAAGTCACAAATTAAAAAGTTGGCACCTACTTTCACAACATTTGAATGCAATTAAATATTGTGTTGAATACAGTACTTAAATACAACACTGAACATTGCCTCAATGACAATTACAATATTGTGACTGCTTTAAGTAATGTGATGCAGTTCGAAATGTGAAACACGATGTCCACAACTCGACCACGAATCTAGGATGTATTTGTTGGTAAAACAAGTTTTGTATTATATTTAATATATACTAATAATACAGTTACTAAATTTCTAAGAATGTTATTCATGTCATGCATCACTCATAATTTTTTTTGAATTATTAATTTATGTTTATCTGCCTAGTACCAAGCGTGCTTAATTACTACTCTTTTATTATTATGCCTAATTTCTTTGTCCTACAATTAAGGGTGTTCATGAACTCAGCAGGGTTGGGTAGTTGAATCTTTAAAGAATTTCACTGAATAATAATAATAATAATAATAAGTCTGGTCAAGTTGGATGACATATAGCACCCAACTCAAAGTCTTTAACACATTTACAAATAAGCGATCTCTTCATTTCACCTTGACTCAAATTAGCTTATTTAAGTTTACTCGATCCATTAACACTTTTACCTATAATTTTAATTTTTTTTATTTTTCTTGATTTAGGTTTTATTTACATAAATCTTTTGTAAGAGAAGAAAAATAATATATAAAATAATAAAATGTCTTCCATAAGTTAAAATTAACTTATACTTTTACATTTTTTAAAAAGTTATTCTTATTTCACTTTTTTAAAATTTGAAAAGACAAGTTATTTTTAATTTATGAAAGAAATTTTATTTATTTTTATGTTATTTATTTTTCACTGTTACAAATTCATTCAATAAAAATGGAGATTTAAGAAACAATTCCCACGAGCAACCACCATTTTGCCTCACTTTTATATTGGCCATCCACCTTCTCCTTCGTGTTTCGTAATGTATACTTTCCGACTCATATTGTATTAAATATGTTTGCTATTTGCAAAATTGTGACATGATAATATGATGCAATCCACTTTCTCCCTCATGTCATTCATCACTCATATATTTTTGAATTGTTTTTTTTTTTTTGTCTACCTATTGCCACATTTGCTTTCTACTCTTTTATTATTTGGCTCAAATTCTTTCTCCTATTAATTTAAAGCTCGAAATTTTTAACATCAATTTTTTCCTCGTTTTCCCTAATTTATACTTGGAGACTGAGAGTAAGGAAACAATTTCCACAAGCTACCACTGTTCTACTCCACGTTTCTATTTTCCCTTCCACCTTCTTCACGTTTCTTTAAGTGTACTTTTTGATCAGTTCTTTAGTCATAACTCAAAAGGTCCGTTCCTGTTTGTATACATTTGAATAAAATTAAACATTTGTATTAAAAAAATATTCAAATACATTATTAAATATTGCTGCTGCCACTATACCGGGCTGCATTATGTAATTTGGTCTGTAATTTAAATCACTAGTTATATCTCATTTGAACATTAATATATTAATATAGTATGTTCGAGTTGATAATACATGTTATAATTAAGTGAAATCAATTATGAATAAGGGGAGATATGAAAAAGTTAAAATTTATAATAAAATGAACTCATACACCTATTGCTTATTCTCCTCTCCAACAATATATGCTTTACTTTCGTATATTTACTAAGGAGATTTTAGAGAAGAGAGTAAAATTTATATTTTAAATAAACATATTTGAAATTAATATATTAACATAAATTTAATATATTTATTATTATAAATAATATAAATTTTAAAATTTTAAAATACGTTGTCTCTCCTCTTCCCCTTCAAAACCTTGTTTCCAAGTATACTCTAATGCTGCAACTAATGAATTTATAATTCCATTGTGGGGTGTTATTATTGCCATACATTACTCACATTCTTCCTGAATTATTTTTTCACCCTCCCAGTTACCAAAATTGTCTATTACTTTCCTATTATTTCGCTTAGTTTCTTTTTCCTGGAAGTTAAATGTATTTATAGTCAAATGGAGAGTTGGGAAACAATTCCCACTTGATACCCCCGTTCTACTTGACATTTATATCTTCCCTTCCACCTTTTTCTTCACGTTTCTTGATAGACACTTTCCAACCTATAAGTCAACTCAAAAAGTACGTACCTGCTTTTTTTTTATATATTTATTTGTAACTAAACACTTCATACTCGGAAATCAAAAGGCAAATAGCCATATCAAAATTCTCTCTCGCCCTAGTATTTATTTTCCTCTTATTACTTACTAGCAATTCGATTTCAGGTGCAAAGTTCTATCAATCTGCTTATCCATTAGTGAGAAATATGAGTAGTGAAGTTCAAACTTTACATGTGTTCTTCTTCCCTTTCTTGGCCCACGGTCATATGATACCAACCGTTGACACGGCCAAATTATTTGTTGAGAAGGGTGCTAAAGCCACCATCATCACCACACCCTTCAATGCATCACTCATCTCCAAAACCATAGGAAAAGCCAAAACTAGCAGCAACATGATTCGTGTTCAAACAATCGATTTTCCTTCTGCTGAGGCTGGTTTACCTAACGGATGTGAAAATTCTGATTCCATCACTTCCGGGGATTTATTTCCCGCCTTTTTCAAGGCATGTGGATTGCTACAGAAACCTCTTGAGAAACTATTGCTTGAGCAACATCCACATTGTGTTGTTGCTGATGTGTTGTTCCCATGGGCTATTGATTCTGCAGCCAAATTTGGAATTCCTACGCTTATGTTTGATACGGGTAGTTTCTTCTCTTTGTGTGTTTCCGAATGTATGAGGGTCTACAAGCCTTACAAGAATGTTTCTTCTGATTCAGAACCCTTTGTCATTCCTAACCTTCCAGGTGAGATTAAGATGACAAGGATGCAAGTGTCACCTGATGTCATGAGTGATGAGAGTCATAGCGTTACCACATTGTTGGAAGAAGTAGAGGGATCAAAGTTGAGGAGCTACGGGGTGGTTGTTAACAGTTTCTATGAACTTGAGAAGGCTTATGTAGATCATTTTAGGAAGGTTCTTGGAAGAAAAGCATGGCATATTGGGTCAGTGTCTCTTTGCAATAGGGATACAGAAGAAAAAACACATAGAGGAATGGAGGTTTCTAGTGATGCGCATGAGTGCTTGAAATGGCTTGACAAAAAGAAAGCAAATTCAGTTATTTACGTATGCTTTGGAACTATAACAAAATTCCCAAATTCTCAACTTAAGGATATTGCAATGGGTCTTGAGGCTTCAGGACAACAATTTATTTGGGTCGTGAGAAAAAGTAAAGAAGATGGTGAACAGGGAGCAAAATGGCTACCTGATGGATTTGAGAGAAGAATGGAAGGTAAGGGACTAATCATAACAGGTTGGGCACCTCAAATGTTAATACTTGAACATGAAGCAATTGGAGCATTTGTGACCCATTGTGGATGGAATTCAATTTTGGAAGGAGTGACTGCAGGGGTCCCTATGGTCACTTGGCCTATTGCTTTTGAGCAATTTTTCAACGAGAAGTTGGTGACTGAGGTCCTTAAAATTGGGATACCTGTTGGAGTTAAAAAATGGGTTGCAATTGTTGGGGATAGTATCAAATGGGATGCAATGGAGGAGGTTGTGAAGAGGATAATGATAGGAGAAGAAGCCAATGAAATGAGGAGCAAAGCAAAGGTTCTTTCACAGCTAGCCAAGCAGGCTGTGGAAGAAGGGGGATCTTCCTACTCAGATTTGAATGCTTTAATTGCAGAGTTAGGTTCCCTCACACGTTCAAATGAGTAATGTTATATCCTCATATTAAAACTCCTTAATCACTATGATCTAAGGATTAAATAAAAGATTGAATGCATTTAATGTCTTGAGAACATAAAATACATTCAATTCTTTCTTTATTTAATAAGTAAAAGGAAGTGAAATTGTAGGAGACTATTCATATATTATGATTATGTGCGTTTATTCAAAAGATGTTGCTCTATTAAAAGTGTTATCTAAATTTAATGATTTGAGCAATGAATATTAAATAGGTCATATCAACTTAAATTTTATTGGTTTTGGCCCTTCCTCTTATTTTATTATTTGTTTAATTCTTTTATATTTTCAAAGTTAGCATTTTTCAGTCCATGATGTTAATTCAAGACTACTAGTTGATTATGAGGTTAACAACAGGGTCCGTCATCATGCTACGTGGCAGTTACATTAATCTTGATTTAGATAACATTTTTCTTGTGAGTATATGCAATATTTAGAACATCTTATCAACGAAGTTTAGTCTAAGTAATAAACAGTTCAGTATCATTTAAACAAAGTTTTAAATTTTAGTCTTTTGTATATAAAAAAAAATCTTCAATAATAAATTTATTTATCACATTCAAGTGTATGATCTGAATTAGATTCAGATTAAACTAGATGAAAAAAAAATTAGAACATCTTTATTCTTGGAGTTGGTTCAAATTGCTTAATTTATACAAAATGGTGACTGTTTCGTTTGCTAATAATATACAATTACAAGTAATTTTTTTAATATTTTTAAAAAATAAGTTATTAAAATAATATTATTTTAAAACTAATTCACATCTTACTTTTTTCTTGTCATCACAAGTTTTGCACATGTGAATTTATATATATTAATAATTTTGTATACTAGAAGAACGAATCTTCAAAACAATAACATATATCAAAATTCTAGCAAATTTCGTAAGCATTAGGGATGAAACTTATTTGAAAAAAAAAAATTTTGGATTTGGATGGCTGAAAATGAGTAGAGACACATGGCATAATTTGGATAAATTTTGCCTCTTATTCAAACAAGACTGTCTCTAGCCAACTTGACAAAGATAGTTGAAGGGAGATTATTCCTTTGTAATAGAATTTGCAGCAAAAGTTATAACTTATTAGATTGTTGCCTTTAATGCTAAACAGATATGATGCTAAGATAAAAATTAAGAGAAATAATCTTATTGAATTGTTATTGAATGTTTAGACACATAATAAGTGACAAGAGTTGTAAAAGTAGTAACTCTGAAATAAAAAAAATACTAAATATATTGATCACAATTCATAGAATTAAGGGATATAAACATAATGATTTGGTGACGTTATAATTAGGTACAATTTAGACTATTTATTAGCTATTAAATAGCATATAAGCTCCTTAACAACAAGCTTATATACTTATTCTTCAACTGCTTCAAATATGGATGAATGTTCTTGTTTCTACCTTTATTAAGTGAGCATTGATAATGCTTATTCTTCAACTGCTTCAACCGGGGCTGTTAAAATATTGATGTAAATTCTAATAAATTTAGTTGAAGCTATAAAGATGTTAAAATATTGAAGGAAGTTGTCAAGTAAGAAAAGGTCCAATAACCATCCACCTTGCTTATAAAAAAATAGTCCCTCATAATCATGTACATTAGATATGATTCTCTTTATGATTCTTCTGGAGAGTAACCTAAGTGTACCTTCTAGAAATGCTAAGTTATATTTAGTCATTCCAGTTTTATATTATTGTAAGAATATTGTTATTTTTTTAACTCTTTTGATCTTATTCTCGTGAGTTGTGTTTTTCAGCTCCTATGTACGGCTATATTTATTGTATAATTTTCTTTTGTAAATATACATAAAAACAGTAACAACCTTTAATAAGTATCCTAAAATTTGATAAACATACAAAACAGCAACTGTACTAAATTCACCAATTTGAAAGAAAAGTCATTTATTATCGATAACAAAAAGTGAAAACAACAAAACAGAGTTAAAGGAAAATGCTGTTTTTGGCGCTCCTTAAATGACCAGAAGTGAGAGTAAATAAATAAAGACCACCCTTAGAAAAGTTGAACCATGTGAGAAAAGGACATAGTGCTTGGAAAAAGGTAGCTTTGATGAAAAAGAATAGCACAAAGATGTCATTAAATAGTTTAGAACAATTACTATCCATTTGTTAAAGTATCCTCTTGATTGCCGCCACTCCAGGCAACAAGGTACTAATCAATTTCAAAATTCAAATGGTAATCAGGGGATTTGGACTTTGTTTCCTACTCAACAGGACTATCCTCAAACTATAATATAGCGTAATTTGGGATGTATGTGAACCGAGTTATTGGTCAATGCCATCAACGTCGCTTTACTTGGGGTCACCAAAATTATAGCAGTTAGGTAGGGGATATGCTTTTTCACTGATTGCGATTATGCCAAATGTATGCTATTTGGTATATGGATAATTGGATATCATTTTCTCATACGACTTCAATGAAAATCATTTCTCAATTTGCCGGCCGTCAGACATGGACATTCGTGTTAGCAAATGCAAGCAAAGCAACTTAATTTTCTGTTTGATTATGCTCAATTTTATGTCATAATTAAGCATGACCTGCATCTTAATTAGTTCACAAGAAACCCGCCTTATATTTTATGATTTTAATATAGTTTGTTGCAATTGTGACGATGCAATTTATGAGATACAATTAAAGCAATTGCCAGCTAAGCCTCTTTACGTTGCAATCTCCATGTCTCGTATCTGGACCTTAAATTCTGACTAGTCTCAGACCATCTTTGATAGTACCATTTTTTTTATACGCATTTAAGTGTATATAATAAAAAGTTAATGAATAATATATTTTTGTTAAAATTATAATATTGAATTTTATTAATATATTAATTTTTTTTAATAAAAAACCCTTACTTGAACTATAAAAAGTAGTAAATGAACCGGATTATGAAGACATTTAATATTTTTATACTTTAGATATGAATTAGAATGTGTTAAGATAATTTATTAGAAACATGTCACTACGCCTTTTCACTCGAGTACTTTATCTTAAAACGCAAGTTTTACAGAAATATAATTTAAGAGTATAAAATAAGCCAAAAAAAAATTAGTATCTTAATTTTTAAAAAATAACTAATATTTTGTCTTTTACAATTTAGCCGACTAGGTTATAAATAATAATAAAGTACATAAACCAACTGATGTGAAATTATCTTAATTTAAGCTTTTGAAAATAGATATACATTAGAATTCAATAAAATAAACTTGATTAAAAATTCAAACTGAATAAGTCAAATGTTTAATTTTGGTAATTTTGGAGTATGAAAGTTTAATTTAGATCTTGTTAATAAATGGCTTAAAAAGGATATTAAAAAAAGTCGTTCGTTAATTTCAATTACTGGAACAACATTTGCCAAAAAAAGAGAGAAGTGGATGAAAGAGTGATTTGGGGGCCACATTTGATGATAATTGATGCAAAGTGGGACAGAGAAAGAGGAGCATAGCATTTAGCATTTACAGTGTGCAGGACCTGTGGCAAGAGCAAGGGTATACGTGACCCCTGCTCAATCTACTCCGCGATTCCTCTGTCCCTTCCAAACTTCAATGCATCTTCTCTTCTCCCTATAGTATACTGTTTCTCCAACAACTAGTTCATGTGTCAACACAAGTACAAAGCCACACGAGAGAGAGAGAGAGAGAGAGAGAGAGTCGAAGTGGGAAGAAAGAACAAGGGAAACGAAAATGAAGAGCAACTCAAACACTAAGCTCATACTTCTCCACCCTTCTCTTCACAAACAAACACTCCCAAACCCAATCTCCTCTCACCGCCTATGGCTCTTCTTCTTCCTCACCCTCTCCACAATAATCTTCACTCTAACCCTCATTAACACCGCATTCTCCCCCACCACCTCCACCTCCTCCTCCACCGCCAGCGCCTCTCTTCCACCCTCCGTCGCCAAAGCCCTTCTCCACTACGCTTCCGCCTCCAACTCCACCGCCAAACCCATGTCCTCCGCCGAAATCACCGCCATCTCCGCCACCCTCCTCCGCACCCCCAACCCCAATTTCCTCATCTTCGGCCTCACCCACGAATCCCTACTCTGGCACGCACTCAACCACCATGGCCGCACCGTGTTCCTCGACGAAAACGAATACGCCATTTCCAAGTTCGAGCAATCCAACCCTGGCATCGAAGCCTACGACGTTCAGTTCACTACCAAAGTGAGCGAGTACCCCAAGCTTCTCTCGCACGCCAAAGCAGAGTCCAAAACCGATTGCAGACCCGTGCAGAACCTCTTGTTCTCCGAATGCAAGCTCGGAATCAACGATTTGCCCAATCACATATACCAAATCGCTTGGGACGTTATTCTTGTTGACGGGCCGCGTGGGTATTTTCTGGCGGCTCCTGGGAGGATGTCGGCGATCTTCACAGCGGCGGTGCTTGCTCGGAGCAAGAAATCGGGCAAGACGCACGTGTTCGTACATGATGTTGGGAGAGAGGTGGAGAGGGTTTTCAGCGATGAGTTTCTCTGCCAGGAGAATTTGGTGCAGTCGGTTGATTCGTTGGCGCATTTCGTGGTGGCGAGTGAAGTTGAGAATGGAAGAAGCGGTGTGTTTTGCAGAAATTCTAGCTCCGATGCATCTTTTTCGTCGTTGCCGACGTCGAAGGATGTCGACGCAGAGGATTAGGAATTTACGATGCAATGTAAAATAATATATTTTCTTTTTTCTTTTTCTTTTTCCTTTTAAATATTTTAATAGAAAAGGAATGTAATTTAATTTGGCGTAATGATAGTGGCATGCTTTTCTCCCCAAAAGAAGGAGGGTGAGAAAGGAGAATGGAGCTTTTTAAGTGTATTTTTTAATTTTCTCTCTTTCTTGTCCATAGTTATGATTGAAGTGTTGATTTGTTTGTTTGTGTCATGTGAAATTGAAAATTTGAAGTTAAAGTATAAGGTGCAGAGCGAAGGGAATTAAATTGGGCGGGAGCGTTAGAAGCATGAGAGAATTGAATTGGGGTTGAAGTGAATTAATTACTATTTGCTTGGGATATTTCTGTGATTGACGAGTGGGTGTCGGTGGAGGTACTCGTACAATTTGCCAGCTATCAACCACGTAATGCCAATTTTTAAAAAAACGTTGTAAAAAATGATATTCTTATTAAATATCTTTTAATTTATCTATTTTATTTTTATAGATAATCTTTTTTAAATTCTATTGTTGATAAGTGATAAATTTAACATTAAAATTAATATATTTTTTAAACTATATTTATAGTCACATATTTTACATGCAGCAATTATAATATTCTAAATTGTAAAACATCAAAAACAAAATTATTTTTTTTAAATCACTCTTAAAATCTTCAAGAGTTTTAAAAATTTATTTCTACTAAACGTTCAAGTTTAAAATTTAACTTTTTTCGCCGTGTATTCAAGGTTTTAGATAAGTTTTATATAAATAGTTTATTATGATAAAATAGTAAAATATATTAAAAAAAGCACTTTAAACTTATCTTTACCAATACGAAAATCTAAATGTGCTAACGACAATTCAATGTCAAAGATATCACTCAATACTGTATGATTTAGAAATTTGAAGAAAAATAATTATGAAAGATAACATATTTATATATATATATATATAGAGAGAGAGAGAGAGAGAGAGACTTGTTTGTTTTGTCTCTGCGCATTCTGCTTCTTTACTCTGATATCAAAGAATACAAATTTTTATTTTCTTATTATTTTCTCTATGTCTTCTCTCTTTTTATTTTTTCAAACAAAGGATTACTCAGTTTATCCATTTTCATAATATAGAAAAATTAAATCTTTTAAAATTTTAATTATTGATAGATACTATAAGTAATCGCTGTTCCTTGTATTTAGATTCAGATATCTGGATCCGTGAATGGGTCAACGATAACAGGCATCCAATATCACAAACAGAAACACGTGCAATAGATAACAAATGAAATAATAATATTTTGTTATATTTATATACATTTTAAACTTAATTATATATTTCTTCAAGTAAATTAATATATTTTGTGATAAATTTTTATTAAATTCTTTGTTATAATTTAATTTATATTATTAATTTTTCTTTGTTAAATGCTGATTTGTTGTTTGACAAAAAAATTTTAACATTTACACATAACATGTTACTGTTATTTATATTTATTATATTTTATTATTTAAAATAAATATTTATAAATAATTTTGTTAATATATTTTAAAAATTTATAAAAAAAAATCTCTCTCTTCCTTTCTTCTTATAGTTTTACCTCTTGGTCTTGTTTCTCCTCTCAACCTCACCTTTAACCCAACCTCTCTCCCTCCACCAACCCAACCCCATAACTCCACTCCTACCTCTTACTCCCTCAACCCAACATCGTAACTTCACCCCCACCCATCTTCCTCCTCAATCTGACCTTGTAATCTCACACTTACCTCTAACCCAACCTAACCCCATAACCTCACATCCACCTCTCTCTCTCTCTCTCTCTCTCTCTCTCTCTCTCTCTCTCTCTCTCTCTCTCTCTCTCTCTCTCTCCTCCAATCCATCCCTATAACTCCACCTCAATCCTTTTTTCTCTCCCAATTTAATCTCAATCTCATCTCATAACCTTAACTTTTCAACAAAAAGACTGAGAATTATGGATTTTTTTCCTTTATTAATAGATATTTGCAGAATTAATTAAGCCTAATGAAAAAGAAGATAGTGAAGAGTTTTTTTTTTTTTTTTTTTCCTTTTTGTTGTAATATTGTGTGTGACTTCTCTGTAATTTTTTCAAAAAGCTTTTATATTTATTAAAACTAATTATTATTAGGAATTTGGAAGTGAAGAGGAGGAGAGAGAGTGAGAGAGGTGGTATTATAGGAAGGAAAAAAATGATTTTTTTTTAAAATTTTTAAAATATATTAAAGAATTTATTTGTAAATATTTATTTTAAATGATAAAATATGATAAATATAAATTACGTGGTATACCATGTGTCAATTAATCAAGAAAGTTAATAATAAAAATTAAATCACTTTTTATATTTTTATAAGAAAAATTAAAAAAAAGTAAATAGAAATAGTTGATATTATTTTCTTGCAAAACGTGTATTACACGTATTATTATTAATAGTAGTTGTAGGAATTATTTAAGATAATGTTTGAAAAATAATATAGTACCTTAAACTAGTACTGCAATAATCCTCTTATGAAAGATATACAATGGTGCTCTTAAAAAATAATTAAAAAGTTCGTAATTAATACTAGTTAGTACAGAGTATTTTTCTTCAACCTTAAATCGTTATAGAAATTTCATATTAATCAATTTTACTATATGAAATGGGAAAGAATTTTGAAAAATAAAAAATTGGAGCTGACCGTTTCTATTAGTATTACTTATATTAAAAATACGTTCGGACAGCGGTTAAAATTGAGTTTCATGCCTAATTCTGATTTAAGAGTCACATATAATGGAGTTTCTTTGAAAGAAAATTTTAATTCGAAAAAATGGAGGTTATTTGAATGAAAAAAATAAAATATATTATTTTAAATAATAAAAATAAAGAAATAAATAATTTTTTTACATAGGTGATTTTTGTGCATAAAAAGAAAAAAATTATAATTGTAACTTAAAATTTGTTTTCATGTTCACAAATATATTTTAAATTTATTTTGAAATTAAATTTTTAAATTTGAAGAGAACACGTAAAATAATTATAAACCAAATCAATGTATTTAAAGAGTAAAGACATGTAATGAAAAAAAGTGTAAACATAGAAAGATTCAAATAAAAAAAATTAAAATTGAAAAGTGAAACTAAAATTAGAAAGAGAAATTAAAATTAAAGGATTAAGAACAACATACATTTAAGTTTCAGCAAATATCGTCTTTTGCAGCATTAGACTTTAATTACTTTTGAGTACAAGTTATATAAATTTTACTAATTGCTTCTCAAAACAAATAAATGAATTATCTCTATGGTCATCTTTTGCAAGCTCAACTGTTAGTAGCTTTTCATAACTTTCCATAGCAATTTAGATTAAAAAATTCAAAGTACTTGTTTGTTTACACTTCTTAAAAGTAGTTTTCAGTTTTTTGAAATTTTAAAACTAAAAAGCTTGTTTGATGAATAGATTTGTGATAATTGGTCTTAAAAAATAAAACTAAACAAACAACCTTTAAGCCATCTCTTCTAAAGTCTTTGCCGATGTCTTATCGAATAGTCTTCAACTAATTTAAATTCTTCAGATAAATGCACACAGTCTTCTCCGAGTTTTGAACTTCTTTAATGTGTTTAGTTCAAAATAACTTATTGATTTCCTTCTCAAATATTCTCTCATTGTAGGTGAAATAAGTATTTTGATTGATGTACTGATATGTTTATTTTCAATATCTTTGTTTTGCTATTATAAAACTCTGTCATTGTAAGTTGAAATTAGAATCCCCAAGCTCTATCATGCTACAAGGACCTGGATCCAGTACAGTTTCCACACATGCATTTAAATAAAAATTTGCATTTTTCTTAAGCAAAAATATATAGACTTAAAGTGAAAATACAAAAACACGTAAAAAGATTTAGCAGAACCGTACTGAATTCAGATAATTTTTGTTATAATTATGTGAAACTGTCCTGAAAGAGGGTTTCATTTTCTTAGTTGTGTCATTTTCTTAGTCTTAGCTTAGACTTTTATTAATAATTTTAGTGTTTATCCTTTTTTTTTTACAATAAAAAAAAAACGCTGTTTGATTCCAAAATTGCTAAATGTCCTTCAGAGTTCAAATTTTGGATGTAACTTTTTCCTTTTCCATTTCGAGTCTAACCTGTCAAATGGTTGTCGAATTGTTAATGGAATTATGTCCTTAGATTGAGGAAATATATTTGGTAGGTAGAGTTCCAGTTTGAGATCATTTTTATATGGATGTTATTCATTTTCGACCCACACGAATAATAATAATAATAATAATAATAATCTCTTTACTATAACTATTTTCCTTACCGATCCTACCAAAAGAAAACTATTTTCCTTTTCTTTAGAAAAAAAGTACTTTTTTTCTTTTTATTAAAATATGACTTTTAATAGGAGTTTCAATATTACTCTTACTCATAGTGATCTATTTGGATAGTAAAAACATTTTTTTATATTATGAAAATGACTTTGAAAATCAATATACATAGATAGCTTTCGCTAAAGTTAATTAGATTTGATAATGTTCCACTGACTAAAACATCATCATCATGAGTTAGTATAGAAATCCAGACACGGAAAAGGGAATGTTGACAAAAATAAATTAATTTAATAACCAACATTTTGTTCTGAATCTCATCTAGGTTTGATTAAAGATAAAGTCATTGTTGCAGTGATTACTAGAGAGATCCGTTTAAGTTGTAATAATCTGTATCATTTAAATATAGCATATACGAGAGAGAATTATTTAAATATGGTAACGTATTAATAATAATAAAATTTGTAAAATATGATATTTTTTATAAAAATATATAAATATGGTGTTTCAAAATATATTATTGGCCATTTTTTCATGGAAAAAAACAACCTACAAGTTGCAGACTTGAATGACCTGGGTCTAAGCTCTCAGGACGTCTAAAAACTCGTCATCGATGACTTTTGAATGACATTAATGGTGTCTTAATGACTTGCAACAACGTGAACGTATTAATGGATTCCGAAGGCTTTGAAAAACTGTCATTGACGATCTTTGATCCTGTAAGGTTTGTTCCACTCGCCATTGTAGTTGGTCACGCTTGCCAGACATCTCTGAAACTTGAAAAATCGTCAATGACAATTTTTGCATAGGAATCTCTG